TAACGAGAAAAATGGTTAAATGTTATGAAAAATTCATGAGAATCTTTGGCCAGTAATTAAATTGTAATTTGCAGCACTTAAACGGTCCCTAAGGCTCTATATCCTTTCTTAATTCGATGTTTTCATGGGCAGTGTTAGTGAATATATCTTATACGTTTAGTTTAACTTCGCGTGAGGCCGCTATAATACTTACATATACCGACGAAACGTCGTAATTTTCCCGAGTATGCTGAGGAAAGTCATAACGCAATAATGTACTGACTTTATGCGACATTTATCGCAAAAGGGCCGGTGAAAAGATGCCGATGTTCTATCCCATTTGAACAAGCACGGTGGGCGCGCAGCGTGTGGCACCTGTCTGCAGGTTGCTCCGTTTATTTATCAATTTCTTTATCCTTTTAATTATTTTTTAATTTTAATGAAACGAATTCCTTTTATTTTTCATCTCTTTTTTTCTTCTTGTCGGATTATTTCATCCATTAATTTAAATAAGAAAACAATTAATGCAATGTTAATAAAAAATAAAATTCAAGACAATTAAGGAGAATTACAATATCATCAAGCCTTAAAGTTGATAGTATTTGAACACGCCCACACTTGATTATTTTTTGCTTAGTCATTCTTTGAAATCGAGTCCACAGATTTCATTTATAAACAAATATGATTTTTTTCCATTAAGAATGAGTTAAAATTAACTATTAATTAATATGAAATTTCATTTGAATAAAGAAAGGATAAGGTATTAGATAAATTTTTAAATAAAAATCCAGTAAAATAATAATTAAAATTTTTTTTTGAATAAAGTTATTTTTAGAGTTTGAAGAATCACAAATGTGAAGAAGAGTATTTTTGGATGTGTCAAAAAAAAGTAAAATTAAACAAAAAAAAAAATTTTCGAACGTCTTAGAAAGTTTCAAGAGGTATAGGAGAATTACTCACTGCGTAATGATAATCGGTCGGCAGATGGCGGTCACGATATAAAAACTTGCCTCACCGCATCTCCAGAGACTCGCCATATAACATCTTCTCCTTCTTTTATATACTTTACTTCTCTTCTCGTCATCCACAATTCTCCACACGCAAGAGAATCACAAGAGACTCAATAGATTGACAACAAATCCAATAAACTTGAATATAAAATAATTGATTCCCATATAAACGTTTATAATCTCTATTACTAACACATTATTTTTGTTTGCTTTTATTTGTGTTTTTTTGTTCACTATTTTTAATGTATTTTATTTTTTTTTTTCATTTTAAATTCTCGAGATAAAAGTTGCCGCAAAATTTTTCTAAAATTTGCCAAAGAATTAAATAGGAATTTTATAGCGAATCTTTGACCATCTTCGTTACCAACATCAATACATATTACGGGCAGCTTAAAGGCGAACGTACAGAAGAAAATCTTCTAAGTATTCATTTTATTTAAACATAAATTCTGGACATAATAACGACGACAACAACAATAATCATCATACTTTTTCTACAAAAATTTATTATTATACAACATGCATATAAAGTTCAGGTGTCAGCAATATTTTATTTTTTGTTATAGCTGTATAATTGTGACATCTAATGAGCTGAAGGTTAAAATTATTATTTATAACCCTTTAATTTGTGGAAAAACTTCTTCTTCTTATCTTTTCTATCTCTACATATATAGTATTTTTATTAAAACTTCCACAGCTTGTTACCAATATAAAAAGCCTAATTTATTTTTTTTTCATCATTAAAAAAACATGATCATTATTAAGGTTTTCATAGAGTTGCTTTATAGAGTAACTTTAAAGAGCAAATAATTTCATATATGTTTTCGCTTAGTTTTCTACATCTGATAGTTAATAATTTTTAAATCCATCCTATTAGCGCTGAAAGATAACAAGAATCTAATCGTCAATCTCTCACCTAGTGTTTTCCCAACATCCATTTCCCCTTCATTCATTTTACTAACATACGCGTGTCGAAGGAGGCGTAGCGCGTGCGCGTTTATTAATAACGAGCGTCTCATAATTGCGATACGGTGTTAAACACGCGGGGTAAACGACGGACCGGTGGGTGTAGCTTACACGGCACGCGACGAGACATCCGGGAGTGCTATAAGTCATGAGACTATCGAGAAAGACGTTCACACAGATGACAGTTAATCGTTTACCAAGTGTGCAATAATTTTCTTTCTATTTCTTAACGATCACGAAATTTAATATCGTTTTTACTTTGAAGAAAAAATTGAAAATAAAAAAATTTTGTGGTAACACGCAAATCATAAATTTATTTTAATAAATCTACCCTATATGTAATCTTATATAAGATCAAAAATTATTTATGAGATACATGTTCTACAATATTAAAGATATATCTTCAATTATATAATTTAAAAATTCTATAATAATTAACAATTCCATTTTCATTCTATTATTTTTACTGTCAAATAAATTGTCAATTGTTTTTATGTTTATAAAGACACAGCATAATTTGTAATCATCACTTTCTATTTCTTTACGTAAGATTTATTTTATGTACATAAAAATTGATAATTTTTTCCGCATGCTCAATATTTTGTTTGTTTTTCTAAAAAATTTCGTTCATTTAACTGTTTCTGCGAGACACGGTATTACTCTCGTGATTGCCATTAGCAAAATTGGGGGAGGTTAATTTATGACCTGATAAATTTACGCCAGCCACTTATTATTAAAAACCAACTTATTGCAACCTTTACAAAGCCATATGCGTAGTTTTTCTTTTGTTAATTTAGATCCTCGCTTTTCAGCAATATATTAACCATTTTGATGCAACTTTTACAAAAAAAAAATATAACGTTAAAGCTGGTAATGATAAGCACATAATAAAATGAATTCTACTTACAAATGTTTAATTCTATTTTTTTTGTGCTGAATTTTCTATGGTAGTAAAATTTTTATGACATTACGTGCTAAATGTTACCGCCTTTCAATTTGCATAGTCTTGTATAATGAAGGCGTGGGTGAGACTCTCCTTGATTTTATTTTATATCAGCTTATAGTAAGACTATATCTTGAATACATTCTCAACGATACTTCTCTCAACGAAGGTGACGTCTGACGACAAGGCTTGCACGTTTTATTGAAATGCATCGTCTCACCGAGTCACATATAAATACCTCAAACTGCTGCATCTTCTCCTCGAGTTACTTGTTCAGTTTTCATCATCGTGAGGAAATTTTTTTTTTTACATATTTTTACACTAGATAAATGTCACAAAAGTTAGATAATATCAAACGTTTAAAAAATTCCAAGACCAATGTCAAGTTGAATAAGTGACGAAAATACGTGATATGATGGCTAGAAAATACAATTTTTTACATAGTCTGAAAGTGACACATCTTGATATGGTGGTCTCAAGTGAAGATTTCCACGTGCTATATTCAAAAATATACATATATAAATATGAGACTACTGCATTTTATATTCTGATCCTAAGGGGCTGCAGTAAATGCTGCACTGCGACGTTTATGATTTTTATTATGATGCGGAAAGCATTACTCTGGGTGGAAGACACAGAAAAAAAAAATTGCTATACTTTTAATAATTGTGGTTATTATTACTCTTATATTATTTTCACTTGCACGGGAGCATTTTAACATTTTTCCTTTTATTCATTGGACTTTTTACTTTTATTACCATTTTAATTGAAATTATATTCCAAGTAGAAAATTGCAAATGCAATAAACTCAATGATAGCATAAAAATGTTTTCATTAGATTTAATTTATTGTAAATAAATGACAAAGAAGGAATAATAAGTGGGAGTGAATTCTTGGAGAAATTATATATCGTAGTTGCTCATAATGTTAACGAGACACAAGAGTAACGAAAGACGAGTGAGAGAGAAATGTCGAGAGTAGCGATTCTAGTTACTGGAAAATACACATCAATTTTCATGTCATCACGTTACTCATGAGATTTATTATTATTATTATCATGAGTTCATTTTAGATTAATATTTTTTTAAATTAATATTATTTTTTTTATGGTATAAAGCATGAAACAAGAGTAAAAATAAAAATTCGTATATTTTTAAGTTCTGTATAAGACTAATAGTGAATTTATATGTACAATGGATATTGTATCTCTTTGCTTTCTTGATTTCATTGTAATCCTGATGCTTGTTCAAAGGAATGAGAAGATGCTTCAGTAGCCCGGCTGGTTTTTTGGTAGCAAACTCGCCCGCGCGATTGCCTCCCGGCTGATTCTGAGGAAGAAATAAGTAGTATAGTAGTAGTAGTAGTAGAACGAGAACCGAACGAAATAAAAAAATTGTGAAGGAATTAAATCAATGTGAAAAATTTATTTACTGATTATTTCATTGTATTTTTCAATTCTTACTATTTTTAGATGAAAATTTTATTCTTCAGAAATTAAATTTTTGCACAACTTTGTAGTGGATTTAATTATGTTGCAATTAGAGTATTAAGAGCAATATATTAACATTTATATTTATTTTGATCTGATGTTTATAGAAAAACAAATAAATTTAATTTAAAAAATGGTGAATAATAATAGATAATCATCAGTATCAAAAGTAGAAAGTCTCGGAATTGATCAGTAAAAATAGACGGTTAATCTTATGAATAGTAACAAAAAATAAATCAAATGGCTTGGTTGAAATGTTTGTAGGGTTTAAAGCATTACTATACGTTCACGCATGTGAGACCTCGTACTCCCAAGAAAGATCAACCACCCCACCCACGCCCACTACAACAAGTCCTCAGTCCAACTCAACCTGTTCTCTTTCGTCTCTCTTGCTCACTCCACTCTCTTTCTGAAGTCCAAGACGTGGTTACAGGTGCCTCCTGAAGGCATTTCTCGTGCTTGGTCTCTCGTCTCCGTTCTCAGGGGGTCTTAATTCTTTTTTTCTTGTCTTATTTTCTTTTTCAACTTACACGATTTTTCATACTTTCCAGTGAAATCCTTGATCCAGAGTATTTTCCTCACTCAAACCATTTTATAGAAGACATTAAAGATAATGGGAATGAAATTTAAATACAGCGTATATTAGAAAAAATCTATACGACTCCCACATCTGTTGTAGAACTAGTTTTAAAGCTTAAATGCTTGAATTTTTTTTTACTTCATTTATGAGTTGATTTTAAAACTTATCATTGGCATTTTTTTTTGGAAAAAAAGGGGAGAGATAGACTGGAATGATATCTAGTTAAAAATGAAGTCGAACGCGCCGACTAATTGGCTACAGTGACCGTGATAGTGTTATAAATTAACATCGATTAAAGGGGACTAATCGATTATTCAGACGTGCTTAATTCTTCCTTGAAAGAATCATTTATAAATCCCAAAAAGTTACGATAAATTTAATAATAAGTGGTAAATAAAATTCTCTTATTATATTATTTTTTAAAAATATATTTTTATTTTTTGTGAAATCTATTTTTTTTATCATTTAGAAAATAATTTTCTTTAAAAAAAAGTAGACACGTATTGATTGAACAGTGGTCAGGGAGTTTTCAATCAATGTGAAATGTTGACAGACACTTTAAACCATTTATGTCTATGAATTTTCATAGAAAAGAGCATCAATGAGTCACCTAGGGGACGATAAGTCACTAATCTTAATTCTCATGTGTATCCTTCAAGTTTCTACTCATCTCTTGATTTACAGTCAACTTTTTTGATCTCTCACTGTCATGGTGGTCTACATGAACATCAGATAAAAGTTCAATCATTAGATATAAATCAGCTTGTTATTGGAAAAATTCAATAATTATAAAATATAAAAACATAAAATAGTATAAAACAAATAAATTACAATATTCAATTAACAAAATAAAATATTATTTTAACGATCGTTTTTTTTTTTCGTCACTCGCAGTAAGCTTCGCTGACAGGCAGTTAATGAGGTTAATATTTAATTTTATTTAAAGATTCTAAAGTTTCGATATATTGAGTATTCATAAGATTCAGCTGATCTTAAGAGTCAACATCCTTTCAGTAAGTTTCCAAAAATTCCTATCTCACCATATCGTATCGATTAATTATGAATAATTAATTCCAACTGGAGTTCAAAAGTTATATTATGAAAAATGAATAAAAAAATTTTTTTTCTCAATATTATTTATATTGAATTAATGTGTTATTATTTTTATTGTTTCAGAACGACGTAGGAGACAGAACGGTGGTAGCCGAGGGTGTAATCGGCGGTATAGGGGGCCCAGGCGGCGGGTGCCGCGTTTCATCGATGACGATGGCTGAGAGCGTCGTGGAGGACTCCGCGGCGGCGCCCCCGGGTCCAGCAAAACCACCTCCGCCTTCTTGTACGAACAATAATACATTAGCAGCTACAGCAAATCGCAACCATCGAGTGCCCCGTAAGCGAAGGCGTTTAAATCAAGTTCTGGATGATTTGCAAGCACACAAAGGTGTTTCAGCTGAAGAAGTAGGAAATAGATTGGAATCAACAACATTAGAAGAAGATGAAGATGTATTTGGATCTTCAAGGCCATCATCAAGATCCGCATCTACAGAAAATCCTTATTCCCTTGCAAAAAGACTCAAGGATGAAACTCTAGAGTCACAGACAGACGAAGATACACCTGGAGCCAGTCAACATTATCATCACAATCATCACCTGCCTATTAGTCTTCAACATCACAAACAATACTATAGAACTTCATTAAAGTTCCCTGGATGTGGTTGCATAAATTGTGCTACGCCAAACATAATTCTACCATCTTCTACATCACCCCCAGCTCCGTTAACACCATTAACACCAGTCTCGAACATGAGTCTTACACCGTTAACTCCAGTCTCACCATCATCATACACCTTCGAACATTATCTTCATACCAAGTACCTGCCTGACGAAGATCGGAGAAGAAGCCATTCAGACTCGGATATGTCTGGATGGGAACAGAAACCTTCATTACTAGTTTGGCCATCTTCTTGTACACCACGAAGTGGATCTTCAGAAAGTGATACAACGAGTCCTCAAGAGTTTCCTCTAGATTTATCAATGAAAAATGTATCATTAGATAGGCCCGGAGCACTTCAACTTCTTCCAACTGGTCTCGTAACCAGGGGGTCTCTCAATGTTCCAGTTGTTCGTGGTGATGTAGCTTCACCTACCACAAAAGAAAGTGTTGCTTTCAGGTACAATCTGGAAGTATCTCCAGTTGTTGAAGAAATGCCGCCCGGAACAGATTTAGCATACGTGTGTCCAGCATGTGGACAGATGTTTAGTCTTCATGATAGACTAGCAAAGCACATGGCTTCTAGACATAAAAGACAGAGTGCTAAGGATGCCACTGCTAAGGCTTATTCTTGTGACGTTTGCCATCGTAGTTTTGCAAGGTCTGACATGCTTACTAGGCACATGAGATTACATACGGGTGTGAAGCCATACACCTGCAGGGTATGTGGCCAGGTGTTTAGTAGATCTGACCATCTCAGTACACACCAGAGAACTCATACTGGTGAAAAACCATACAAATGTCCTCAGTGTGTTTACGCAGCATGTAGAAGAGACATGATCACCAGGCATTTAAGGACACACGCAAGGTACGTTGATGGTCAGACCAAATGTGAAAATTCAACTGATCCTGAGAGTCCAACTTTCGGACTGACTTCTTTACCAGCCGTTAAAACAGAATGACCGAGGATTAGAGTGAAGAGGATTAGGAATGTTTTGAACCAAGCTTAAGGATATTCTGATGTATCAAAACTCCTCTGAAGACTGCCTTTCCTGTGTTCGTCCTCGGCAGACAAGCGGCTGAACAGTATTATCCATACAATATCTTTGATTTGATAATCCATGTCTCTTACTTGTTTTTATTCTTCTTTCCAATCATTGCCTTCATTGTTGCCAATACAGTAGGACATCAACGTTTATTTCATCACTAAAAAACTCCCTGCATTAATGTGTTCTCTCAGCTATCTTTTGATTTATCTTTAAGAAAAAATAAGTTTATATATATATATATATATATTTTGATATTTAAAAATAGTTATAAAACTAAATTAACGTACTTGAGTTGGAAGTCACATGAAAAAGGTGTGCCAAATTCTTTTAAGGTCAGTTTTTCAATTTATTAGCTATTTCATCTATTTTATGTTGGAATTTTTCGTCATTATTTCGTATGACTTGAGAGATTGTCATAAAAAATGTTAAACGTTTAAATATTTGTGATGAAATTGGTGGTAATTAATAAAAAGAAAAATTGAATCTATTATCAACTAGTAAAGTTGATATTAAAATAAATTTGTTGTTGATTGACGTTGTATATTTGATAATAAAAACAACTGTTAGTATTAGTTACTAATTCTAAAGAAATTATTGACGCGTTTATTTATTCGCGTTTTTTTGAGATTGATATTTTTTTATAAGTAAAAAATGAATGAACAATATAGTTTTAGATAGGTTGGTTTTTTTTTTTAATTTTATTTCATTTTGTGAGTCATTTTCTTAATAAGTTTTTTGAAAAATAACTGCATCATATAATGATGAATAAAATTAATATAAAAACTAAGAGTGAATTATAATATCGGCCCAAAAATCTTCGTTTTCTCGTGATCATAAGATTAATAAAATTATCTATTATAACTATTGTATTTATAATTACACGTTGTTAATTATGTAAACCCTACTGTCTATGCAGAATAGATTATACGTATGTATTTTTGTAAATCAACTTTTTTTAAATCTCTACCATTTATAAGCTTTGAAGAAAAAGAATGGATGAAGATTTTGAGAAAATGATGAATTATCATTAGATGGAATAATTGTAATTTTTACTTTTTTTCGTTAAAAAGTACGAGTTGTTGACTGACTCGTTAAAAAGACGCTTTGCCATTTTACTTGCCTGTAGATTTATGATCGATTTTATACGATCGTGGCATAGAGAAAAGTGAAGTAAAAAATAAATTTTTGTGAAAAAATATAAATAAGAATACGTCAAGGTAATGATAATAAAAACTATAAATAACATAATAATTGTGAGAGGAAACCAGTGCCAGATGAAATACTTATGAGTTTATAAAGTTGCAGTTATTATAATTATATTACTTAGCTATTCCTACGATGATAATCAATTAATTATATCATTAAAATTATTACTATTATTATTAATATTATTACTATTTCAATTCTTATAAGCTATTGATTTATTAATGAATTAATCTATCAATTATTATTATTATTATTATTATTATTATTATTATTTGATGGTGATTATTATAATTATAATTATTATTTACTTAGTTATGTTGTTAAGTAATTAATCATGTTTAATGCTTCTATTATTTATTTTGTTATCCTAAACCATGAATCCTACTTTCCTTATTCCCATCCCTTATAAACGTAATCATAATCGAATAATGTTTTTCGCTGAATCAAAGTATTTTTATTATTTTTCTTCTTACATCCGTCACATGTGTACTTATGATTAAGATTGAGAAATGTAATTTTTTCTATATAAAATGATTTTTGAGTAAAAAATATTACATGTTGTTAAAGTATAATTCGTTAATAAATAAGAAAATAAGAATATTTCAAGTATGTAAGAAGAAAAAGAAAATTCGATTTAATTTGAAAAGATGATATTTGTATAAATTATTAATAATATACGTTAATTTATAAATTCCGTTGTGTTTAAAAATCGTGCCAGAATGAAGAAAATATAATTTTTCAAGTTCCCAACAATTATCTTTTCATTGTATTTATTTCAAACCTTTCCTATTTATATTTTATATTCAGTTATTACTTATTTTATATATATTGTTTTTAATTTAATTTTAAAAATTAAAGCCGTGCCTTGACGTAAGAAAAATTGTAATCTTACAATGATCTTGAGCTTAAAGTCAACAAAATCAACATATCATTATTAATATGTTAGAATTGTGAATGGGTGATGATCATGTTATAATATTTATTGAAATCGAAAAATATCATAAATCTTATAATAATATTAAAAAAAAGTACTTTTAAAGGTTTGACAAATCTTACAACTCGTGATATAATAAATAATCGTGTCTAATTTACTTTCGAAATTATAAAAATATCAAGTAATAACTTGATGACTATTATTATATGTTGCTGTCCAAAAATTCTATCAAATAGATATATATATATATTTATTCTCGCATATAATAATTCGTGAAACGAATAAAAATCCTGTGTAAACAGATATATAACAATATTTATATACATTTTATCAAAATTAATATATTTATGAAGATTGAAAAAGATGAAGTATAAAGAAAAAGATTAATACAAAGTTGCTCATTTTGATGTTACTGATAAAATATTATTTTCTCTAGTGCATTTGAATTATTCGGAGATAATATTAATATCTCAGGTGTTAAGTATACAGATTTATCTAGTGCGTAATCAGTTTTTGCTTTATTATACTCCATCATAATCAATAGACTTGACTTCCTGGCATACGCATTAGAATGTGCAACAGTTTTCTAACCGCAAGATAGTTAAATGTATCTGAGTTCTCATTCTCTGTAAGATAATGATTCAATATATATATATATATATATATATGTATATACATATATATATCAGGATTATAGCATTATTAAAATGAAATAATGTGTATACTGGTATTCAGGTTTTTCACTCCAAATGCACTGAAATTTATTAAAAGTATTTAATTGCTGTTTGAGTTTTAGAAAAATAAAATAATGTTTTTTTATGTAAAGTATACTTTCATTTCTCGATACAACTATTCCTTATGTAGATTAAAATTCGTTACAGATCATATGTCTTGCTCTAGTCAGACTTTTCTTCTTTATCAACTCGTGGCACATCCTGGCGATGTCACGTAAATGACAGTGAAAAAATACAAAAGTAAGAACTAGCGTAAAAAAAAGAAGGAAAAAAAATGCAAAAAAATATATCGTATACATTTCTGAGGGTTGTCTCTCATAAATAACTCTCTTTAAAGTGCAAAACGGATTTCACCTGTCAAAAAAAAGTCTCTTGAAACTTTCTAAGGAAACGAAGCATCGAATTCCATATGCCATTGGGTAGAAAAGAGAACGAGAGCAAGAAAAGAATCACGAATTGAACAGCTTGGATCTGTAGCGATGATAGACTGCTATCGATTGATTCTTGTGTGACGGGGCGCGCGATCGAGAGCATTATTAATATCCTTTTTATGAACCAAATCAAGTCGGTTGTTGGTGCGAAGTAAACCATTCATCTCATCGGTTTCCATGATTCTTTTCACTTGACCATTCTTTCATCAAGATCATCAGTTGCTCTTCCGTCTTCTTTAGTAAGTTTTCTTGCGTTGATCGCGGTACCCTTCCACCGACGCACACGCGTCTTTGCGTCGCCACCAACGATAAATTATTGCTGCTCGCACCGACATGGCCGATGCCGGTAAAAAACATAGGGAGGAATGGGGGTCATTAGAAATTATAAGTCGTGGACGAGGCTTTTATGTCTAAAGGGTGGGGAACACACGCCGCTCGGTGGTCGCAGTCTGCACACGGCTTGTGTAGTATATACTCAAGCCGAACGACTTTTTGCTGGGTGATCGGTAAACGCCGAGTGGTACCCGGCTGATCGACGCGCGGACTGACTACTAATAGTGTATAAAACACAGTCACAGGCTTTGGTCCTCCCACACTCTTCAATACACCAACACTCACGTCCTTTCAAATATTCTTTGTCAAGTTTATAATCAACCTGCAATTCATCTGAACATCAGTCAAAATAATTGTCAAAAAACTTTTATTCTGAAAGTTAATGAAATATTTAATCTGATTCAAAAAATTAAAATAGTTTTATTTGATGGAATATATAAGCTGATGGATTAATTTAAGAATGTCCTTAGCGACATTTTCACGTCTGGCATCAGGACTTTGGTTGAATCCCGCAGTCCAGCGATAAATTTTGTCATTCGTGACAAACTAGGCATGCAAGGAAGTTGAAGCACGAGGTCTTTCAGGAAAGGTAATGTCTCCCTTGGACTTTGATACAACAAACTGAGTCTCTTTTGCCCTTTTAACGATAAATCAAGCTTCGTGATCGACCTGACAAGGACTGTCTGTCATTTGTTCTGTGACTGCCATGCTAATTTTCTCTCTATTTACACTCTATTGATCCATGTCAACAAAACACCAACTGAAGATCGCCATCAGGATCAAACACATCTCATCAACTAACAATGTACAGAGTTTTTTGTAGAAATAGCATTCATCAATTTAGCATTGACAAATTTTTATTCAAGCACTGTCGAAATTCAATATCAATTAAAGTAATTTGAAATATTTTGTTTTAACCACACTAATAAAATCATAAAGTGACGGTATTTTTCTAAAAAACAAATATGACTATGTAAATTTTTTTGTAAGCTTCAAAATTAAAACTGTTACTTGGATAATATATTCGGGAAATTCTATAAAATTATTTATCATGAGTAGGTGTTGATATACCTGAAAGTTCTATATTTATTATTCTTTATTTCCATCGTTCTCATCAATATTATTATCTTTGATGATTCATTGGAAAATAGGTAAATAGACGATATTAATCTCGTGACCATATTAAACGCAGGTACCTTAATTAAAATTCAATCTCAAATCTACTACATATCAACAGTAGAATTTTTTTCGATGTACTTAAAATCCATATACACAACTTTAAAGACTATAATGAAGAACATATAATTCCCATGTCAATTACTGCTATACCTAAGGGTTTTCAAATCAAACAGCCGTTCTCTGGTGTGTCTAGCTTTATTGGATGTTTGTAAACATCTCTCAAATGGATATCGGATTATAAAGGTATTTAGATAGATAAGAGGAATATTTAAGTTGTCAGGAATAAATGAAAAAGTATAGAAAAGAACAAGTGATGAGAGGTGAACAAGTCTTTCGCTCGTACTTCTTGCTTCGACGTTCGTAACATCCGGTCCGAACAGATAGAAGTCGTCTTTCGCGTTTGCACCGGAATGCGTTCTTCTGCTTAAGATTTACTGCATCATCTCGCGTGTGCACCACTGAGAGAAACAGTGGAATGTAGCTGCTAACCCAAGTGACTCGTCGTCGCACCCGTATACAGCCAGAATATCCTGAAGAATACGAGAAATACACTACAACCATCACTTGCAGAGTATAATTTTTTTTTTTTTATCAATTTCTCAATAGCGGAAGTATCTCGACCATGCTGCTTGTAA